AATGCTTTTTTTTTTTTTTTTTTTTTTTTAAGTGGGGTTGTTAATAGCCTTGTGGAATTGTTTTAAAGGTTGAGTCCTTCCAAGTTCTTGATTCTCTATCATACTTTAGACCTGGGAGAATAAGTCCCTTTTCAGCAAGCCAAACAGTGGCTGCCTCATGGAATGAATGGAAATGGGGAGCTTCTTCCAGTTCTTGACAGTGCAAGGCAAACCTTTCAGCTTTGTCCAGTGAAAAGTTGCATGGCTTTTTCCTGATTAGTGAGCTTGCAGTACGTGGGGCTAGGGGACAATTCTGCCAACATGTGATGCAGGTTTCATTGCTGCCAGTCAAAATACACATCCTGTGCTGTCACTTCCAGAGGTTCTGGGGAGGAAATTAGCATGATCACCATGGCACTGGTGCTCCTGTGAAATCATCAAAGCCTTTATCCTCTTTTAGACTTACTAAATGAATCCTTGGGGGAGAAATTTTGAAGTTGAGAGTGTGAAAAATCCTTTATTCTTAAAAGTATAGTATTGCCACTCTGGCTATTTGATGATTGCAAGCAGTAGGAGCAGAAGTCTGGCTAAACGCTATCTCTACAAGGAAGGATAAAACTGAGTCAGCAGGCATTAGCGTCTGTAGGACATGGCTCCCTGGCTGCTCTACCCAATGGCTTGTTTAGTCTTGTTCTGCTACGTGTTAGCACCTTTTGGCAATGTACAGTGATTATAGTGCCCTGTGTCTTTCCTCGCTGCTCCTCTCTGTATCCTGGGGCTAGGATTAGGTTACAGCACTCAAATGGCAGGGTTGTCTGCATTGACTGAGAGCTGAACAGTAAGGGCAGACTTTTGTTGATAGTCTGAAGTGCCTTCTGTGTTTGTTTCCCTTCTCTGGAGGAGGGATGACATTATTTTCATTTGTAGTCTTTCTGTCTCTGACCTAAACATGTGGTGTCCAATTTCCTTCCCTGGCAGGTGACCTGGAAAATGCGGAATGGTGTCTGGGTACAGAGCTGACTCCAGCAGCAATAAAGACTGAGCCAGCATTGTGTGAGACGTCAGGCCTTGCTCCCTCAGTCAGTCTCACTGTCACGGCCGTGTCGCTGGAGGGGGAACAACCTGAGCTACAGACGGATGCCCTGGTACATGCAGACTTTCTGTTCTCCTCTTTGCGCAATTAGCTACAGATTTTCCTAAGACTCTGCATACCAGTGTAGCCTCCTTGGTGCCAAAGGTTGTCAATTCAGGGTGCATGCTGCAGTCTGCTTTAATATTTTTTAATGTTTGCCCTTGTCCCACTGCTGCTGCAAGAGCTTGTGTTTCAAAACACTTAACTGCATCTTCAGGTCTTAATGGTTGGATGTACAACTTTCTCTTCTATGCTAGCCCCAAAGCCTGGGGCTCATGTGTTTTTAAAAATACTTAAACAGTTTCTAATGAACCAGTCCCACCTGAACTGATGAACCTATTTGCCCTATTGAGCCTGTGACAAGCTAAGTGTCTTCCATAATAACTTGCTTTAGTGCTGCTGTGCCTTCCCCTAATCAGAACAAGACTGCTTGTTTGAAATGACTGGAGAGTTTCCCTGTTTGCCTGCTAAGTCACTTTTGCCAGATCTATGAAGCTTTTGACATTTCGAGCTGCTGCTGCTTCCACACCAACCTGCCTCATAAGGAGCATTTGTGATGCCTTTCTGACCACAGCTGGAGCAGCCAGTGGGCGTTCTCAAGGGTTTAGTTTGGCTGTGGTTGAGTTAAGGAGAATGAACTGCAGCAGCTGATGGCTCGCCAGAGTCCCCTGTCAGTGGAGGAAGAAGCATGACTGTTCTCAGTCCCCAGGGTGTGATGTCAGTCAAGGCTGGGTGGAGTTAGTATATGCTGAAAATAAATGTTTCCACTTGGATGTGGATCAGAAATATGTGCAACAGAAATTATTTTATGAGAAACTGAAAAATTAAACACAAGTTTCCCATAATCCTCTTCTAGTCTGAATGTGCTGTCCCCGGTACGTAGTCGTGCTGTAGCTTGGGATGCCATGATTTGCAGAGAGTATATTGGGACTAGCTGGTGGCTCATTACCATTGCATGGGTTAGTTACATAGGTTATTGAGAGAGATTTTGGCTGCTGTGAGCATGCTGATGTGCCAGACTGACTTCCTCAAGCCTGGGACTGTAGCATTCAGGCAGACTCTGGGCAGCAGCTTGGCAGCCTGGTGCCCCAGCCCTGTCAACAGGGCAAGCCAGATGTCTTCCAAACTTCGGTCAGCCACGGCTGTCTCTCTTCCTGCTCTTCCACACCATGAAATAAACTTGGGTCCGATAATCTGGTGCTCAGTAACTGGCACCTTGCTCTTGCTCCCAGATGACAACGGTCTTGAACAGGCTTTCCCCCACTGCCAGGAGCATTTCTGTCTCTGCTCAAACAGACTGTGCAGTCCGGCAAATCCTAGCGGCAGCTCTGTTGCTAAGAGAATTAATTTGAGTGGGTTGCATGCTAGCTTTCAGTCTGAAATGTCATCTCTGAGGCGTAATCTTTTATTTAGCTAAATATAGTAGTGAGAAAAGCCACAGTGGGAGTAGTCAGGGCAGTATACTCTGTAGCCTGGCTTAGCAAACTGAGTGAAGCAGTTAAAGCTTTGCCTGTAGCAGAGCAGGAGGAGAGGGAAACTTCTCCATTTATGGAGAAGTCATCCTTGTATCCTTCTATTAAGATTTTTAAGATGTGTGCTTTGGGTTTTCATGCTGTTAATTTCTCTTTTCTAGATGAAACCACTGAGCCAGAAAGTTCTTCCAGAGATTAAGTTGGAGCCCCATGAAGTGGATCAGTTCCTGAACCTCTCTTCTAAGGAAGGTCTGTTAATTACCAACCCAAAATGCAGGGGGAGATGACCAGAATTCACAATGAATGTACTTTACCCTGATTAAATATTTGGCTTCCTCATTCGCCATGTTAATCTTTAGGCTGAAGCTGTTGCCTTCTAGGGATTGAACTCAGACTGCTGAAGAGCCAGCCTCTCTCTGACCCATTTATGTGTTTTTTTCTTTTTTTTTTTTTCTCCCCTCCTTGCTCATCACAAAGAAAATGATCCCTTTTTTGTTTGTAGCATATTAACAACTGTACAGTTGCTGGAGGGAGCTTGAATCCTTAAAGTCCAGGATATTTAGGCTAGAAGAGAAATCAATTTGAGAGGACTTAACTAAGGCATAGAAAACATGAAGAGCGTAAGTGCAAACTTCACCATTTTAACCTCTGATACAAAAGCAAGGATATGAGTTTATATGAAATTAAAAGTTAGGTGCATCTGTTTGTAGCATATTAGTTTTAGTAGAGTTTTTAAGAACCACCAGGATCCCTTTGCACTAATCTATAAATGAGGAAGGAGGAGCAATGATCCCTGCCCTGAAAGTTAAACATGGTTTTGTGGCACATAATCTATCAACCCAAAGAAAGTTTGAAAGAGCCAGATATTTGGGCTGAAATTTGAGCAGATAACTGCATCTCAGTTAGGAACACTTGATACTCTGTTAGTGAGTTCATTTGTGTAGGTAAGTAGAACTGCTCTAGGGAGAGAAGCAAGTGATGTGGCAGGTGGAAAAAGGGAGGCTATATCTCAACCCAGGGCGTAGACTTGATTGCTCAATTTGTGGGATTAAGGGCCTTGCTGTTTTTCAAGTGTGTATCTTCTTCTGGCAACTACTAGAGTTAAGATGCTAGACAAAAAGAGCTCATACATAATAGCTTTTTTTTGTTACTATTTTTCTTCCTTCCTTCCCCCCCCCCCCCCCCCCCCCCCCCACGTTTCT